AAACCTTTAGCTCCACTCTGCAGACAGAGCAGATAAATTAACCATATGATAACGATGGGATAGAAAAATAAAATGATGTGTAAATTCTAGGCGTGGTATCCTTGGCTTGGTCAGCACATTATTTATTAATTCATGCTTAATTCATATTAAAAAAAACTTCTTTGTTTTAGTAGTATCTGTGTGGCAATGCAATACTTTAAATCTTTTCAGTACATACATGTTCCTGTAGCACTCTGACCTGATAGCAGCTACTGAAGGTTTTACTGAGTACAGTTCTGTATTTTTCAGGTGTGGCAGTGTGGGGGGCAGTTGGAAATTATACCTTGCTCAGTTGTGGGTCACGTGTTTCGCAGCAAGAGCCCCCATACTTTCCCAAAAGGGACTCAAGTGATTACCCGGAATCAAGTTCGCCTTGCAGAAGTATGGATGGATGAATATAAATATATATTTTATCGGAGAAACACAGAAGCAACAAAAATTGTTAAACAAGTAGGTGGCGATGGTGGTGGTATTAGAAATCAGTTGCTTCATTGAAATTCTTGGTGAGCAAAAATTATTATTTATTTAGGCACTATGTATGATTTGCTTTGCTTGGCAAAATATTGAATAGAATAACAGCCAGTTATAGTTTATTTAATATTTTACAATATCGGAACTTGAGTAATTGAGTCAGGTCCATCTGTCTATTCATCAGATTAGAATTGGAAGAATTTCATTAATCAAAATGAAAGAGTTGAGAAAACTTGAATATGCTTTAAATAAATTAGAGTTAATCAATTGAATGAATATTAGAAAGCTAGTTCTAGGACTATGCTTTTTTTTTCTTCCTAGCATTCTTCTCACAGTGCAAGGTATGCTTTTTTTGGATCAACTGAGTGTTGATCCATTGGTTGTGACAGGAATTGATCAACTTATCGCCCAAGCTTGATGCCAGGGGTTGAGAGTGAGTGGCTGGCCGAAATCCACTCAGCTGACTTTCATGCCTCAGATGGGACTAGAACTCATAGTCTTCTGGTTTCTAGCTCGGTGCCTTTAAGTTTATATCCTGTGCGCATCTGTGTCTATGTGTGTGTGTTTATGTATATGTGTATATAAGTACTTTGGATAAGTACAATAAAGAATGTTGGCTTATTTGATAAGAAGGATAAATATGCTTGAATTTGTCAGAGAACTCTATAGAAGGGGAAGCATTATCGCTAATTTGGGTTACTGGAAGCTTATGTGACAACAGTGAGTCAAGTGGAAAGGGATAGATCCAGTTTTAAGGCAAACAATAGGAGAAGATACTGTCTGTTGTCCCTCTCCCAGTGAAATCAAGCTTCTGAATTGTGTATCAGAGCTTTGTAAAAACTTAAAATGTATTATTAATACATTGGTGCACTGACAATTTATCACATCTTTCAAACAAATAAAATTGGGTGTGGCAATCATTTATTACTTCCCTGGAAGGAATTTATTATGGGTCCTTTCTAGCATACAGGTAGGTCCTCGACCTATCTTGTTTAGCGACTGTTCAAAATTACAAAGGCACTGAAAAAAATGCCTTAAACCAATTTACAACCATCACAGCTGGTTGACACTTGGCAACCAGCTTACAGTAGTGGCCGAAATTGTGGAAACCTTTTGGGAAAAGTGTATTTTTGAGGTTTGATGGCGAATAACACCACTTTTCCTTGGAGTAGTATCATAAAATTATATATCAATGGAAAGATAATTTAATCAAGAATGTAATGCAACAAAGTTTGTTCAATTATCTGTACTGTATTCTATGAAAAGGTATAGCCAAATATTCAGAAAAAGGAAGCACAACTTGCTTAGGTTGATATCAGGTAGCTTTCCTTCATCGGATTGTAGCCAATGAGCATGAGTGTTTAGAAAGCCAATCAGGTATCATCTTGTTTTGGCAATGAGCCAATCAAATCACAGTAGGATTCAGTTATTGATGTCATGTATTGAAGCTGAGAGGAGGACATTTGTCAGTGTGTTATGTGATCGCTATCCAGTTGGTTGGGGTTTTTTTGTGTTCTTTCATTTAGTGAGCTTTTAAAACGTAATAAGTAATGGTGTAAAGAGTTGACTGGTCGCCCTGAAAGCGATGTAAAATAGTATTATTAAGTGAAGAAGGCTACAGTTATAAAGAAGAAAAATTGGTGGAAACTTAACCAAAGGTGGCATTTCTACTGTACACTTTTTCCAAAAGGTTTCTATAATTTTGGCCACTACTGTATATTTATGATAGTTGTAGCATCCGGGATCATGTGATCGGCATTAGCGACCTTCCCAGCTGGCTTCAGACCAGCAAAGTCAATGGAGGAAGCCAGATTCACTTAAAGACAGCATGATTCACTTAGCAACTGTAGTGATTGGCCTAACAACTGTGACAAAAAAGGTAGTAAAATCAGGGTGATTCATTTAACAACTGCCTTGCTTTAGCAATGTTAATTCTGGTCCCAATTGTGGTTGTAAGTCAAGGACTACCTATAAACTTATTTAATTTTTTTTTAAAAATTTTTTTTATTGTTTCGAGTACTTATGAAACCTGTTTCTTAAGCAACTTAGGAAAATTTTAGAAGAAATGTAAACATCACAAAGAGAATTATTTAAACTTAAAGGCGTTATGTATTCCGAGCTCCTATCAGCCAGGAAAAAAGTGTATATTTCTATTTGCTGAAGACCCAGCGTGAAACCCAGAGTGGAGACCACTTACATCCTAGAGTTACTCTCTGCTGTGTGAGAACATGGTGTTGCAAGCAACATGGCCCCAGATGTGGCCTAAATCAATGCTGCTTAGCTGTAAGAGGGACAGATACTTTACATTTTAAAACTAAACTCTTTAAAAACCCCTGCTAGTTTTCTGCTGCAAACAAATGTCATAGCACAGTGGTTCTCAACCTTTTTAATGCCGCGACCCCCAACCAGTCGTAAGTCGAGGACTAAACCGGTCGTAAGTCGAGGACTAAACCGGTCGTAAGTCGAGGACTAAACCGGTCGTAAGTCGAGGACTACCCAACCGGTCGTAAGTCGAGGACTTTCCCTGCCCGGGAGCGCCGCGCATGCGTGGTTCCGACCCCTGCGCCGGCCGAGGCGTAGCTGGCAAGCGGCAGAGATGGAGCAGGCCGACCACCAGCTGGCCCAGCTCAAGGGAGGTAAGGCACCCGCCGGAAAAGGGGAAAAAAATGGCGGACAGCCTTGCTTGGCGACCCCCGTGAAATGGTCGATCGACCCCAAATGGGGTCGCGACCCATAGGTTGAGAACTGCTGTCATAGCAGAAACTGATTTCATAGAAGAAGGCAGAGAAAGATTGCAATGGGAAGCAGTGGTGTGAGAATGGCAAAAAGCAGCTCAGCACTGATATCGGAGGTTGATAGGCAAATAAATGGCGTACAGGGAAATCTTGGCTTCTATAGCAGATGGTGTTCTGCCTCAAGCTGAAGATTTGCTGAAGCTGCACCGTGCTTTCAGGAACCACTAAAAATGCATTCACTACTTCATGATTCTCATGGAGGCACTGTGTTTGGCGGCTCTTCAGTTTGCAAGGCAGAAGCATCATCCACCATTTGAGTTAGATCTCACTGCTGGTCAGCAGCCTGTTTGTAATTAGGAATTGTTCATAAGCCAGAGGTTCATAAACTGGAGACTTCCTGTTATGCATATCAAATGTACTGAGATCACCCATTGTCCTTTCCTCCACTGAACTTTATATATCAAAAACCTGCTCAAGGGTGAAATGAGGGAAGCTACAAAGATGGCTTAGCCAGAGCTGATTACTGCCACTCAATCTGAAAATTCAGCACTCTTTTGTAGTGTTGTTGTATCTCACTCACTCCAAAAATTGCCCCTGTGCAAAAGGGTCAAAGAAGCCATTTATGGACATGGACATACACACACACACACCAGTGGCCGCCAGTAATCTGTATGGAAATAGTTTTGCTGGTAAGGCAATGAAAGCCTGGTAAAACCACCAAGTAAAATCACACAACAACAAAAGTAATCAAGAGCAACATGAGCTCCCTTCGACCAGTCCGCTCCCACAGAGAGGGCCTCCTTAG